TACCCCTCAGCCCCGCGCCGCCGCCCTAAGCCCGCTGCGGATCTGGGGGGTGGCCGGGGGAGGTGGGGAAAGCCTCACTTTGTCCCCCACCCCGTCCCCCAAGAGTCATCGGATCTCGTCCAGGACGTTCTGCTCCTCGACGTCCCGCGGACTCGGGGTCCCCTGCCCCCACCGACCCCCCCAGCCCCCACCGAACGCGCTCCTTCCCACCGGAGCTGGCTGCACGCTGCGTGCCCTTCCCTCTCCCTCCCCGGCGCGAAATAGAAACATCTTCCTCTGTTTTCAGGGTTAGAGGTGCGCATGTCTGGGAGCCACAGAAATGTAATTATTTCGTGGAAAACCGGTGGTTTGCCGGCTTAGCCCAGCTTGACCCGCTGCGCTGATTACAGGGCGGCTGCGGCGCGGAGGGAGGAGAGGAAGCGGTTCTCCTGGACCGAGAGTGTCTCCGGCAGCGCAGCCCCTTCCAAGGGCGTCGGGGACACCGCCTGCGCCCTCAGCCCGGCGTCTGAGTCTCAAGAGCGGAAAGGAGCACACACGCAGAGCCCACTCAAGCCACTGGAACAATGTTCCCTTTCAGATTAGGCAAGACAATCTGTCTCTTTTCTAAAAGTTTTAATGTGTCAAAATATGGCTATTAAACCCCTGGCAATTCAGCATTTACAGAGTGTGTGTGTGTGCACGCGCGAGTGCGTGTGCGTGTGTGTGTGTGTGTGTGTGTGTGTGTGTGGTGTTCCCCAAAGTCCCAGCAGGGCACCGTGAGCTATCAGCAGAGCGCACTTGAAAACTGAGCCAAGACCGAACAGAAGCCTGGAAGGCACAGTCCTCTTCGGACTTGAGAGTAACGCGGGGCCAGGGCCAGGTGAAACGGGAGAGGGCTCTGGGAGAGGGCAGGCACTCAGTTAACATTTCATAGAGCGCCAGTGTTTCAAAAGAGTGCCACTGCAGGGTAAGGATGTGTTAGCTTCTTAAAAAGAACCAGCGAGCTGCTTCTCTGTTCACTGGCAATGCTCACGGAAGACACGTGCTGAACATTTCCTTGTGAGAAAGGAAATAATTACTTTTTAAAAAAATTGCATATCTGTGCAAGGAACTTGTATTTTTGTTAATTAACACACAAAAAACCAGAGATACAGACATTATTGTGCCCATTTAGTGAAGAATTATAGATGCAGAAGTGTTTAAAAACAAACAAGCAAGCAAGCATACAGACTCACCCACATTTACAAGCCCAGCAGGGTCCAGGAGGCTTCAGGTCCAGGTCCCTAGCTGACAGGATTCCAGCCCCCTCCGCCCCCCCCCCCCCCAGACGAGGTGCGAAAACAGCCGGTTATTTCTCAGGTGCTTTTCAATGGAATAGTGGAGGATGTTTTAAAGATTGTTCACAAAAGCAAAGTTTTATTCAGAGTAAGCAAATTAGGCCAATTCTATAACTTTAGTGAAACAATCAATAGTAGAGCAAGGGCAAATTCAGACAATAGTTTCTGGGAGTTTGAGTCACAGAACACTTTTAAAAATGATTGTGCACCATAAACAAGAAAGTGAGTGACAAGTTTGTATTTCTGGGGCCTTCCTGCCCACAGTAGCAGTAGAGATGCTAGACTGCAACATTACTTTAACTTCATGAATCTACTAGAGGCCCAGTGCATGAAATTCGTGCGGGGGGTGGGGTGGTCCCCTCAGCCCAGCCTGCACCCTCTCCAATCTGGGACCCCTTGGGGGACCCCACAGGGATCGAGCCTAAACCGGCAGTTGGACATCCCTCTCGCAATCCTGGACCACTGACTCCTAATCGCTCACCTGCTGCCTGCCTGGTCGTCCCTAACTGACCCCCCCTGCTGGCCTGGTTGCCTCCCAACTGCCCCCTACCTGCCGGCCTGGTTGCCTCCCAACTGCACCCCTCCACTGGCCTGGTCACCCCTAACTGCCCCCCATGCTGGCCTGGTTGCCCCCAACTGTCCCCCCGCTGGCCTTGTCGCCCCTCATAGCCCTCCCGCCAGCCTGGTCGCCCCACTCAGCCTGCTGTTCAGTTGTTTGGTTGTCCCTCACTAAACCCCCTGCCGACCTGGTCGCCCCATGCAGCCTGCTGTTCAGTTGTTTGGTCGTCCCTTCACTAACCCCCCTGCCAAGCCTAGTCAGTCCTAACTTCCC